CTTAATTAGGATTTGTTGATTGTTTTCATCTAACGCTCTAATCTTCACAATTTCACTTAAATTGATTAGAATCTAAATATTCTTATATGTTTGCTAGATCATATCAATCAAAAAGAATTTATCTTAAAAGACAAATACATAATTGTTACATAATTATATCAAATCAATATATGGTAATGTAGAACTTTGTTGAATTTAAATGTTTAATAAAAACTTAATATTTATTTTAGGTGGGTAGCTAGTTATTAATTCAGTTAAATATATTTAAATTTGATCATTAGTTAGAATAATAATTAAGTCAGATTTATAAGTATAAAAGTTGATCTTTTTATTTATCATTATTTAAAATTCTTAATAAATTGTTCCAGAAATTTAATCGAATATAGCTCCTTTTATTGATAAATCAGTAACTGATTATTATAAAATCAATGCAAAACTTTGATTTTTGCTCATTTAAAAAAGACTTGACTAACTACTAATTTGAAATTTAGTAGAATTTAGTAGCAAAAACCTAGAGTTATTAATTAAATCCCATACTTGATAAGAATTATCTTGACTTTACGCAATAACTATATTATTTAGATGAAAGACATCTAAATCTCCATTTTTAAATTGTATATGTTCATACAATTACAGATTTTATTTCCAGAAAACTGATATATATCCATCATAAAATACTGCATAATAATTATCCTACTTCAAGTTATCGATAATATTTTGAAGACTTTAATAAGAAAATGAACACTTCTCAATTTAAATGCAAATATTCTGCTATTTATTTGTTATGTAAGAAGGATTACAAATAGATTAACATTATCCTTGATTATAGCCTTATAAGGGTTAAAAGTAGAAGTTCTGCATACACCCTTAGTATATGCAAATTCCTAACTAAGAATCTAAGCTGTACTTATCGTAGCACTAGATGCATGTATTTTGTTAACAGATTTTGCAACCATATCCACAATCTAAAACTAAAATACAGTATTTAACTAGTTATAATAATAATATTGCTAAATAAATTTGATTGCTTTTCATTTTATTTCTACTGAATTAATTTTAAACCTTCCTAAAACCTAAAATTTTTTTCTTCTCTTTTTGTTTTCAAATAATTAAAATTCTTTGTAAATTATATGTTCATACATAAAGATTATTTTAATTACTTAAATGAAATTTAAATAATAATATTTACAACAAATAATTATTAAAGAGTCATTTAATTTCCTTTTTCTCATTTTATTAAATTACTTTAACAAGTAAAAAAGCATAATCAATCGTTGATACAATAATTTACTAATAATAAATAAATAAAAAAGCTATTTTTGGAGAAGATTGCAAATAGTAAAAAAATAAATGTTAGAAATTAAATTTTATATATTAATTATTAATATTAACATTTATTTACTGTGGATATCGGATTATTTTTATTAAAAATTAAATTGAATATATATGATATATATTGTTGGCTCTATTATAAAAATATCAGTATCTTTCAAAAAGTTTTCAAGTCATTAAGCGCACTTTTTAGCGCACCAAAAATTGGTGCGCCAGAGTGCGCATTTTTGCAGAGTTACCAGTTGTGTTGTGTATCTGTTGAAAAAAATAATTTCTCTTATTTATAACAGAAATTGGTCTAGGTCATAAATTTATTGACAAATTTTCTGGATATAAAATATTTATATTCAATTAAGCATTGCATTGATCAGTTGTCTTATACATTTTCATGGCCTGAGGTCCAAAAGTTCCAAATTTGTGATCTCTAATTAATTTTTATAATAAAATTTAGTTATGCTATTAAAATGAAAATTAAAAAATGATAATTAAGTTACAAGAACTCTTTAGTATTAGGTTAATCATCTAAATATTTGTAGTAGAGAGGGTAGAAATTATATAAATCTGATGCTTCAGAACAACCATATTTATCTCCATAAATTTTGATCCAGTCTTCTTAGGTAGAAAAGTAACCAATTTTTTTATTAGAAGCGACTTTTAAATAGTTAGCAATATCTTATGTTCTTTGGCAATTGAAATTGATATCATTAGTCCATTTACATTTTTCGTCATCATTAGCTGAAATTTTAATCCAAATAATTTAGTGATTGATATCCGAAGTGGCAGCCAAGAATTTGTTTACTTAATCACTAACTCTGCATTCTGGATGGGCATCAGTATCTTTATTAATGCATGGGATGTACATAAGATGAGTTTCAAAGCCAGCTTCCTCAGCAAATTTAGCTTAATTATAAACTTGAGGATTAATACCATTAATATCTCTTCCAGTAATAACTTGGAAAGTATAATTAGTAGCTGACTTTAAGCACTAATATACATCTTTTATAAGTGGTTAATTGGAGTAAATCCTAAGAAAGTTTATTGATCATCCTT